ATTGGCTTTTGTCTTAATAGCCTTTTAACCAACTTTGTTAATGGACTGAATGCAATTTAGATATGGAACTTGGCTAAAACATAGCTTCAATTGGCTATTAAAATTTAAGAGCCAACTAAGACAGCTAATTACGAAAAAAAGCGCCAGCGATAATGCTAACAGAATTAGTAATAGCAAATGACAGTCTGTCTCGCCTTACTCCCACGGGAGTGCCTCATGGAGGAGAAGCCAACCAGACACTTGTGCGGGCCTAACTGCACTGCGGGCCTAACTGCACTGCGGGCCTAACTGCACTGCGGTCTGCGCGGATCTGGCCGGGCAGGCTATGGGGGAGTGTCAGGCTCGGAACAAAGCAACTGCCCCCTCCCTGTACCTGCTGGGGCGGATCGGGTCCCGGGGCTGTCTTCACGCAGTTATTCCTGCATGAGGAACACTCCTGGAGAGTCTAGCGGGGACGGGGGGGAGGAGGGAGACACAGACTCTCCCTGGTCCCGTGCACAGAAGTAGGTGCTCCTTAGGCAGGCGGCCTGAGGACCAGTGACACCTGTGGGTGGAGGGGCCGCTCAACTCGGGGCCTCAGCACAGACGCCCTCCTGGCCCCGCGCCTGGGAGCACGTGCCGCGCGGTGGCCAGGCAGCGGAGCCACTGGAGTCTTTAACATCCCCTCGTCAAGTGCTCCCTGCTGCGCCTGTAAATGTCAGTCCGGTTCTTGCACGGCTGCGCGCACAGATTAGAAACAGCAGGAGAGCGGGGACTGCGGCGACAACACCAGGAAGGACACTTGTCTTCGTGGCACTGCTCAAGTGGTTCTTGGAATGCGGGGCCCCGCTGTTTTCTAATATTTACACACAACTGGAGTCGAGAACAGCAAATGCAGTCTCCAGGCAGCGCTTCTTTTGTTAGGGACTCTTCATTCAAATGGGGAGAGCAACAGTAACACCGGGAAAAGACACCACTTTTTAAGTTTCCTATTTTCCCCCAATTTTGCTGCTAAAAGACCAACCGGGTATTAGGGCGGCTGCTCGCTTAGCTTGACCCCCCTGCACACATTTCTGGGTGCATCTCACAGCTCGCTGGGAGCAGCAGGGGCCTGGGATCCCTGGCCTCACCCTGGGCTCTCCTGGCTGTGGCTTCTCTGACCCCCACAGCACAGAGCCCGGGAAACCACATCATGGAACTGCGGCCACCTCTGCCTCCTGAGCACTTTGCATGACATATCAAAGGCTGATGTGCAACTGCAGCACCTCGAACAGACAACTTCTGCCAAAAACCTGGTTAGAAACTTTAAAAGGGGAGTGAGACCACTGGGACTATATGCCTATCTTTCAAAATGTCTGCATGATCCTTCTTTAAATTACAAATGGTGGGATAAATGACATATTTTTATCCTAAGCCTTTACATATCCGCCAAGGCTGTTGGACTAGAGCCCCGTGGGGCTGCGGGAGGAGGGCTGTTGGGAGGGAGCAGGTCCTACCTCTGCAGGTGCTGCCCAGGAAGGACACAGTCCTTCCCCAGGGGTGACTGGCGCATGAGCACCAATGTGTTCAGGGGAGCTCATCACATAAAGAAGGCAGAGCTTTTATTTGGGGCGAGCAGGGGGAGGAGAGGGGGACTAAAATGCCCAAAACACAATGGTCCTTTCTTAAGAGTCTGGAACACGCATTTCTCCATCCAGGAAAGTTCAAGTGACCGGCCCTCTCCCCTCTGCTCACCACGCTGTGTGCAGAGCTTCACAAACGAGGGCACAGAGCAGCCTGTGCACTGAAGGAAAACACAAAACCCACAAAACTTCACCCACGCAGCCGCCTGAACTGCGAAATGTAAGTCGGCGTGAAGCAGGACTCAAAACAGCACAGCCACAGGACCAGAGTCTGACTTTTTACTTTTGACGAGATTATGTGTAAACTTTTCTTTCATTTTGATCTGTTAATGCACACTGGGCAATAAATAAGAATTAGTAAGTTAAATGGCATTAATAAATCAGTGTGGTGGCATAAGGACAGATCAACGAAACTGAACACTCAGTCCAGAAACAGACCCCGGCGTGAGAACGTAATATGTAACACAGCAGACATCCCAAACCAGGGCAGGGAAGAAAATCTACTTAACAAATGAACTGAAACCACTGGTTAGCTATTTGGAAAAAAATCCGTTGTGAGTCTTACCTCATGGCATACACACACTAAAGTAAATTTCACACGGATTAAAAATTTGGAAGTATTAAAACAAAAAACCTAGAAAAAGTTATGGTACATATTTCTGATTCCAAGATGGGAAAATTTTCAAACAGTGGCAGAATTTATCATGAAAAAGATCAATAGATTAAGCCATAAACATCAAGCTTCATAAGAAATACAACAATAAAAAAATAAAACAGAAAAAGTCAGCAACGAACACGATGAAGGGTTAAGATGATTACTATACAAACAGTACAGCCACTCCATAGAGAGAAGAGAATGAGCAGATTACACGTAGAACTGCTCAGGTTTACCCGCCATTAAGAGAATTTGTTAGCGAATTATGAAAACTAGTACTACTCAGGAGACAGGAACGTGAGGAGCACGCTGATGTACCAGACAAGTAAGGGTCCAGGACAGATTTTACAAGGCAATTGGACAACAGGCATCAGCAACCTTCTTCCGTTCTTCTAGTCTTTGGCAAAGCGGTTCCCTTCAGAAAATCTAAAGAAATATTTGTACATGCGGGTAAAGGTTTCCGCCCACTTTTATTAAAGAGTATTGCTTATACTATTCCATGCTGAAAACAACTTAGATGTCCAATATTAGGGAAATGGCCATGAAGGTATCATAAATCCATAAGAAAAAAATTACACTTATTATACTTATCTGTAATAACATAGAAAATATTAAAATTTGCTTTAAAAAGCAGAATATAAAGCTGTCTATCAAGTCTGGTAATTATTTCAAGATAAAAGTGCCTGAACAGACTAGAAAAATCTCACATCCACAGTGGTTGTCGGGGGTGGTACGGACAGTTTCTTTCTGTATGTTCTCAATTTTCTACAATGACCATGTGTTATTAATACTTCTTGATAACCAGACTAATAAAGGCCACTAAAAATAGAAGCTGAAAGGATAACCAAGCGTACAATGCTCAACTGTATATACAGACACACACCAAATGCATTAATTTACTTCTATTTCCGCCACTGCTATATCACTGCGGCTCAGGTCCCTACAGGCAGTGAACCTAGTAACTCTGAGGAAGCCGCGGGCTGGTCTCAGAGGTGACCCCTGAGAGCACCGGATGCTCCCTTCCCGCAGGACTCGGGCAGATGCACAGGCAGCCTGGCTGCTGCCGGGACCCGGGGCGCACGGCTCCAGTGCGTGAAGGCCAGGAGCGGCACAGGTGTTGGTCCTCCACAGGCCTGAGAGAACGGCCAAGCAGGTGACAAAACGTGCGAGGAGCACACGTCAGATATGGAAGCCCAACTGTGAGGGGGGAACAAAGAATGGCGAGCCCCCGACTGCGGGGACTGGGAAGAAAACAGAAACAACGCAAGATGCACAGAGTTAGCGCAGAACCGGAAAAGGCAAAAAACACGAAAGCATAACTCCGATGGCAGGGAGATTATTCACCCTTTTTTTATTTATTTACTTAACACAGGGGGTAAGAAAAACCAGCCCAAAGCAGGGAAAGAAAACCAGCAGCAGAATCAGACTGGCTACTATGGCTACTAGCTCTCCATTTCTGCAGTCCTGCCAACAGAGGAACATTCGAGAAAATGCCAGCACTTGTAAAAACAATATGTGAGGAAATATTTGTTTTCTTAATATTTAACCAACAGGTTTTGCTATGTTTTTGTGTTTTGAAAAACAAAAAAGGCTAAGGCATATACACAAAAACACACCACACACATTTGATCCTATTTTAGGCGTCAATGTGTTTGAAACAGAACTTGAGAGTTGATTTAAGTGTTACAAATAAACTTGGGACCATAGCACTGGCGAGGACTAAATCCAACATTCTCCAGAAAGCAGAAGTCTCTGCCCAGAGCCGAGTTCCCTCTTCTGGAAAGACACAGGGCCCTACAACTTCGCGAGGCTTTTGAGACTAACCTCACAGGAAAGTCTGCCGTCTGTTCCACACCCGTCAGTGTCTGACCACGTCAGGGGCCCCTGCTTCAGAGGCCCCTGCTGCAGGGACAGCTGGATGTCCACATCCGAGAGTGCAAGTTCCAGTCTTTGTGTTGATCCAGAGCTGCTCACACTTGGTACAACCTGGACCATTTTTAGCTGAAGACATCCCACCCGCACTTACTAAATGAGGCTTGTCCTAAGCAGTACAGAGAATCACCAGTTTAACATGCTACTCAGATTTTGAATCTGTATTAGAAATAAATGCTTAAAGACTTAAATACAAGTGTATATCTACACCATCTGAAAACCCTGGACATGACACAGCTGGTAAGGTGTGCCAACATTTAGCGACGCCAATCCAGCCCCAGGTTCTCTAACAAAGCAAATCTTGAAACTATTCATAAACGTTTAAATTCCAAGTGTTCGTTTCCAGGGCAACTATAAAAAGTCCACATCTTAAAATTTCTAATCACCAAAACTTTCAACTGCTTGCTTTACTATACAAATATGATATGCTACAAAAAATGAAACTTTTAAGAAAAATAATCTGTGAATGAACAATTAGACATAGAGATAGACCCATTAAACAGACAGACAGACAGAAAGCTATAGAGATTTATTGCACAGCGTTTCCTTATGGAAGTGTCTATATATAAACTCTGTGACCGTGCCATCACTTGGCAATTACCCCATCTTCTTCCCACAGAGCCTGCCCACTTACATCATTCTTACATAACCTCGCTTGCAAGCATGTGTATTCGACCAGCCCCACGTGCTCATTACCCACCTTTTCTTTCACTTCCTTCCCCTTCTCTGTATCTCCTGCCTCATACAGCAGGTGCTTACATGCTTGTGGGACTGAACAAAATCAATAAAAACCAAACATGGCCACAACAAACTGAACTTGTATCAAGCAAAAAGACCCCTTTATTTGAAGTTTCGCATTTCCTTAAGAGGAAGGACTCGGCCAAACATTTGACCCTCTGAGAAATACACACAACTGGAAAGTGCACCTCACAGCAGTTCTTCTAAGTACCCAGACCTTTCCCACAGCCGGGCAGCTTAAAGAGTACATGCAACCTAAACATTCTGGAATTTTATAAGTTAGCCTTTAATAAACTGTACAAAGCATTTATTCCAATAAAAAATTTGTTTTTCAACGACACAGGTATTTCCCTGTTACCCCCACCCACAAGACCCACATGAAAACACGCACAACAGAAAATGAAGAAAAAGCCGAATGACAGGAAGAAAAGAAAAACTGGCTCACAGCATGCGGTTTACTTCTGGACTCTCTTTCTCCTTTTTGAACCTTGAAGAGAAAACAAAGACATTTCAAACAGTAATCATTAACTTACAAAAGCAAAAGAACAGAAATGTAAGTATTTCAACACATTGTTACTAATATTTTAAATTTTATTAACCATGCTGATTAGTGGAGATGAAATTCATACACAAAAGCGTAACTGTTAATGCCCCGAAAATGGCAAAAATATGCTAACAAAGTCTCTCTCCAAGTTCCATCGGCTCTCCCACCGGCAAAACAGTGATTTCCTGAAGTGCGTCTCCCAAGGTGTATGTGCAGCAGGAACATTAAGCTCACGTACGGCAGAGCAGAACGTAAGGACTGTCTCCGTGGGCACTGACGGGTTAGGCACACTAAGGGAAGCAGGAAGGCTTATTCTAAAGGTGTTGCCTTTGACACCTGCCACCCGTGCTCTCAGGCAGGCGAGCATGGGCTCCTCAACAGCTTTCCACCAAGAATGACACAGGGGCCACTGAGCAGCCTCTAGGAAAGCATCACACCTGACACTGGGCTAAGGGACTTCCGACAGTTCCGCCCCGACCGCTCCTGGTGGACTAAACCAGCGTTCTTTATCGAGGGCAGGGAGTGCTGCTGCCCAAGGACTTTGTTCCCAGCCACCCCACGCCACCCCGACGCGAGCACGGCAGTCAGAGGGATGTGGCTAAGGCTGATCTCGATGCCTAGGACACCTAATGTTGCGCTCTGCCAGGACGCAGCAATGGCCTCTGTGAGGGCAGCAGGTGGCTCAATATCAATCAATGCCTGCATCGAACGAAGAGATCAATACTTCCTTTCTGACATGGACAAACACTGTGAACCTAGGACAAAGTGTCTATCGCATATGACTAATAATGAATAGTGCCTAAAGGATTTCTGATTACAGATTTATTTAGTCCCTTAACTGGAAGATCAGCAATTTAAAAATCAGTGTGTTTATTTTTCCAAATTCTAGTTTCTAGTCAATTGCCATACACTAAATCAGCGACTTCCAACTGGTGGGCCGCAAGAATTTTTAAAACATCTAGCACCTGACTAGTTAGGGGCACTGACTTTTCCCTTAGATCAGTGGTTCTCAACTTTCTGGCCCTTTAAATACAGTTACTCAGGCTGTGACCCAACCATAAAACTATTTTCATTGCTACTTCATAACTGTAATGTTGCTACTGTTATGAATCGTCATGTAAATATCTGATAGGCAGGATGGTCTTAGGCGACCCCTGTGAAAGGGGGGTTCGACCACCAAAGGGGTCGCGACCCACAGGTTGAATACCGCTGCCTTAGATTGTCAAATAAAAAAAGGACAACAGCCAACCCCACAATAGCCATCCGGTGTGAATAAATCAAAATTATACCTATTTCTTGGTCAAATCATCAAAAATGTATTTTCTGGTTTGCTGCTGAACTTCAGTAATCAGTTTATGTGTGCTGGGGGATGAAAAGAGTTGAAAATTGCTACACTAAATTAAAGCAAATTTCAAAGGGATATGAATATCTTTTTTTTTTCTGCCACTCAAATACATAGCCTGTAACTATGGTTAGTTTAAACTGAGTTTTCTCTTCAATGTTTGTTATATAGCCTTCTTTTAAAAGTATCCTGTGGTAGATTTTTAGTATAGTTTGAGAATTTCAAAATTAATTTGGCATAGAAAACCGAGAGTGCTGTGACTCTGGGACTGATGAAACGGGCGATCCCAAGATCCAGGCCAGAGTCAGCACTGGGCACAGGAGCCTGTCCATGCCCTGAATGCAGCCACACACTCAGCACGCCGAAGCTCACACGGTTACAGCCGTGTTCAAGCAGTACTGTCCCACTACCGTCCTAGTTTGACAGGTCACTCTTAAACACCATTGCTGCTCACCCTCTTCCATCTAGATTTAAAGTTCAATGCCACCACCACCTGGAATTTACTATGTAATCAGTATATGCAACTTACTTTGCTGCACGTATCAATTCCATAGTTTCCTAATAATCAATTCTGACTGCTGCAGAGAAAAGTCGATTTCTCATCTCTTTAAAAAATATACTCATTTTCATAATACACTACTAGTGGTAAAAGTTCTCATCACAAAACAAGTATGTGTGAGATTTAAATTTGAAAAATAAAATATACAAGTTTGAGATACCCTCCTATGATTTTAATAATGAAGGAAAAAACAAGTGGGAAATGTCCATGTATGGAGGGTGCCTTTAAAAATACCTCTTTTTACTAGAATATAGATATTCAAGAGGTAAATAAAAACCATGTTTACATCAAAGAATCCTCAAGAATGATCCAAAATGCAAGGTACTTCAAACCTAAAACTAAAAGCACCCACAAGACTTCTGTTGTGTACTGACCATTCTATGAACAGTAGGGACAAAGGACACTAGCCATAAATATCATGGTGACATTAATTTTTAGTCCAATTCTGAAATCCTGGCATGGTTTTGAAATGCCAGAATACACATGGTTTTTATAAGTCTTATCATTTTGTGCAGGAAAGAAATTACTTGCAGCAAATAACCAAATTTTCTCAATTGGTAAAAATTATGCCTTGCATAAAAATAAAAGGATTAGGGCCTCTGTTCTTCTTGAAAATCGCCCGTCACCCCCTCTCCGTCTTTGAGAAAACCCACACAATACACACTTTGAAAGCTTTCAGAATGTGTTCGTACACAATAGACCCCCAACTAGTCTAAATGAGTTTAGGTGTATCAAGAAAATTATACACGTTTTAAAATGGTCTAAATAGATATTAAAGGAAAGCTGCTCCCATTTTGCTAGGCACAGCATTCTGAAAGATCACACAGTGAGAAAAATCTCTCACCATATTGTAAACCATAAATTGTGTTTGAAAATAAAATTGTTAATGAAGAAACTGACATTTCTAAAGCTGCTGTTGGAGGTAACCATTCTTCAAACACATTTATGACACAAAATCTTAAAGCTCTAAAACAGTATTCAATGAATTGGATTACTTTTTTCTTTAAATCAAATGTAATAATGTGCCTTCTTCAAGTTTCTTTAAACTGATGAATACAAATATATATACATTTTCCTGTGCCCTTAGTTTGTGTGTGTGTGTGGGGGGGGGGGGGGGTGTTGTTTTTTTGGTTTTTTGGTGTGTGTGGTTTTTTTTTGACTAGAAGCAGTAGTATTTCACCATCTCAGGTGATATTTCTCTCATTTTTGAATATTTAGATTGTAAAATACCTTAACAAGCCTTTTACTTTAGGGAGAAAATGAATTACAATGGGAAAGTAGACAGCATCTAAGTAAAGCAATTCCAAGTTTATGTGAATAAGGCAGAATCTGATTATTCTTTATCTGCTTTTTTATACCAAAAAGATAGCTGGATTGCTCTCCTTAAATTAGCAATGGGATTTACTCTCTTCTTTTGTCATTATTAAATAAAACAAAAAAACTAATATATTTTCTCACAGTAAAAAGTATCAGTATAAGGACCTCTGATTAAAATTTTAGGTATAAAAAACTCATTTATAATTATACCCCAATTTAAAATCATTTAGGTTTCGAAACAAACCCCTCTGATGCCCAGCCAGCAGAGCCCAGGTAACGATGACGCCAGGCAGTGGAGAAGCCCGAGTCCCAGACATTTCTAAATGGGTGTCAACCTTACTAACACTGCAGGACGTCTCCTAAACGAAAACCGCCAGGTTTAGAACCTAGGGGGGTTTTTAAAGTAAGACTCTTGCTCTATCTTTATAAATGCTATTTAATTTTACTCCCACTCACTGCGGGCTGCTGCTCGCCTCTGGCTGAGACAGGCCTGGCTGTACTGCTCCTCAGGGCTCCTCACTTCCTAACAACATGAACACGGCAGGAGGAGGGAACCGTGCAGAGCAGAGGCAGCAGCAGAGGGGAGATGGGCTATTCAGACCCGGGGACCCGGAGCGAAGGGACACTCAGTCTCCAGAAACCCCCGTGTTCTCGAGTAAATCCAGGTGGACCGCAGGATGCTCTACCCAGAACACACGGTGAAGAAGGGGTGAATGGAAGGGGCAGAGATGGTCCTCCTGGCAAGTCAAATGGCTGCCTCCGCAGCGCGCCCTGGGCCAGGGCAGAGGGGAGGTGCAGCACACCCCGGACCTGGCCCAACAGAGCCTCGCACCTCAGTGAGACGTGACCTAAAATAAGCATTCCCATTAGAAACCAAGGGCAATGCAATACCAGCCCAAGGGCCAGGAGAGCAAGGGCACGTAGCCAGCGTGGAGTCAAAGGAACCTGGGACATGTTTCCCTTCCCTGGTCACCCCGGGCCTGCCTGCCCCTCAGAGGAAGCCCACCGCCCAGCCTGTGGCCTCGCTCAGGTTAGCTCTGGACCCGCTCCGCCGGCAGCACAGCCTGTGAGGCACCCGGTGACTTTACACCCTGCTTTTTGGAAAATGATGATGCAAGGCTTTAATCCTTGCACCTGAAGTGTAGAGAGAGAAAGGCTGGCACTTTGTGGGAATGACCAGGCAAGCAGAGCGGGGCAACTGAGGGAAGTGCAGGAACTAAGGACTGACCCCTGGTGCTGGACATGCGCTCCTCTCCATCCCACGCGTGGGAATGGAGAAAGGCTGAGAATCAGGAGTGCTGGTCTCTAAGGCCACCACCTTCTCAACGACGTGGTCATTTTTGTTTAATCCTCACCTGAGGAGATGTTTGATTTTTTAGAGAGAGGAAGGGAGAGAGAGAAGCATCAGTTGTTTGCCTCCCGTTTGTGCCCCGACCGAGGATCAAACCCACAACCTAGTTATGTGCCATGACTGGGAATCGGACCCGCAACCTTTAGGTGTACGGGACGATGTTCCAAACAACAGAGCCACGCGGCCAGGGCACAACAACTCTGCCACCTGAACACTCGGGGTTTTGGGCTCCATATCTGAAAAACGAGAGAAGCTCCCGGCGCCAACTTCATGGTCACTGTGAACAGTAATAACACTCTGCGTGTCCAAAGCCCTGTGATACACACTGCACAGATGGAAGGCCTTCCCCTACGATATTGTATTATGAAGTCAAAAGGTGACGACCCGAACAGCGGAGTCCTATTAGCGGAAGGTAAGGAAACCTCATTTACGCGCGGAGAGAAGTCACAGCGAGACCGTCCACTTACGCGTCTGCATGGCTTCCTCCGTGTGCGTGTCCGAGCACTCCATGTCTTCCGCACCTGCTTCTGTGTGCTTCTCAGCCTCCTTCTTCCGCTTCTTACATGTGAAAACGTAAAGAGAGAAAGCTGTGGTCTGATGGTCAAAGAAGTAAATACTCACACTCACTGTATATTAGTATACATTATGAACCTATACAGGTGTGCTATCAAAATACACAAAACACATACACAGTAGCCCCCCTTCTCTGAGGGCTTATGTTCCAAATCCTATATATAGTGCGCGACATTTCCCCACAAACACACACCTTTCCACTTAAAGGGAGCACCTGACAGCTTCTCCTTGGCACATCCGAATTGCCGGCACCACCGCTCTTGCATTCTGGGGCCATTAGTAAAATAACTGTGATCTGAGCGAGCACTGTGATACTGCGACAGCTGCTCTGACAACCCAGACGACCACGGGGTGACTAACGGGTGGTGGAAATGCTGGCCGATGGATGGCTCACGCTTTGGGCAGGATGGCAATAGTTCATGCTACTCAGAGCAGAGGGCAAGTTAAAGCTTAAGAATTGTTGATTTCTGAATTTTCCCATTTAATATTTTCAGGCCATGGTTGACTGCAGGTAACTGAACCGAGGAAAGAGAAATACGGATGGGGGCTACAATACACAACTTCAAGGTAGTGGGGGCCTAAGAGAAGGGGGGCAAAGGCAATGGGATTAGAGAGCCTTCAACTACTCAGTGTGCCTGAAAGGTGGGTCTGTTTGCTGTTACCCGCATCTAACTTTTTATGCCTCACATAGTTCATTATGGAAAGCTGCGTTTTAACCCTCAGGACTGGGGATACAGAAGCTCTCTTAAAGCCCAGTGTTTTATAAACTTGGCATCGCCCCTCTCTGAGGCCAATGATACTTATTCTCCAATTTTACAGTGTGTATCTATGGGGGTATATGAGGCAAAGCTGCGTTTTAACCCTCAGGACTGGGGATACAGAAGCTCTCTTAAAGCCCAGTGTTTTATAAACTTGGCATCGCCCCTCTCTGAGGCCAATGATACTTATTCTCCAATTTTACAGTGTGTATCTATGGGGGTATATTTCCTTCTGGAATGTTTTTATTAAAAGTTTAACAGGGCCAAAAACCTTGCTGTAAGGAAGGATCTTAAGAGTACACAGGTCTGCTAAAATCTCAGAAATGGTTGGTTTTCCCACCATTCTCTCAGGCCTTTCCTATTTTCTACTTATTTTTCCAGTTGAGTGTGACTTAGGAGAGTTAATGGTTATATTCTGTCACCATCCATTCTTCCCAACTGTTCTTTCAATTCCTTATTATTATTTTCTAATACTATACTATTTTCTACCTAGTTCATTCCTGTGTAAAGTTTTTAAATCACCTAACATCTCTACATGTAACTATAACTATAGAAGGACCTTAGAGATAATTTAAAACTTTGCATTTTGCATGTAACTTTATCCCATGTAGTCTCAAATTTCAATGTGTTAAAATGCAAATTAAAAGTCAAAGCTTCTCTAGGTTGCCTAAAATAAGTGTGTGTCATGTAGGGAATCATCTGATACTTCGCAAGTTTCACAGATTCACTTCGCATCAGAATGTCCTCATTTATATTTCCTAACAATTAACATTAAGTTGAACCTCATCTGAGAACCTTCCTTGCTTCGGGCCATTGTGCGTGTGGCTATAAGAGTGTAATACCTGCTGACAGCACATTGTTCTTCCTCCTAATGGCAACCATGGCTCTGTTCCGAAGAGAGCTGCGCAGGGAGGCCCAGCTCCGCTCAGACCACATTATCTTAACCCTCCAAACGGTCAGAACTGCTATTATCTCTGTGTAACAATTAATCCCACTGTTCCCAACGATGCTTAAGGCGGCTGTGAACGATGAGGACTCAGAGACACCAGGCTCCTAAAGAAAAGGCTCCACAAATACAAACCTGAGGACTGCACTGAGCTTAGGAAACGTCAGAAGTAGCATCTGCTGAGCAGCTTTGGGGAAGGAAGGACCCCTTCTCAAAGAGAGCGGCCCTAGAGGCTGCGACTTCCTACAACGGATGAGAGAAGGGGCAGTGCCTCCCATCCTCCCTTTCCAAAGTGCCGCTCCGTGATTGCCATCCCAGCCCTGCTGGGCTGAACAGATTGGTTCGATAATTACATACAATAACTGCAGTGGGCAGGTAACCCTCAGCTGGCACGGGCAGCTCCCCTGTGAGGGCTTCCATATGCAAACGGCACTGATGGAGTGCATTAGGTGCCTCCTCCCTCCGGCGCGCAGGCCTGATTAACGCCGGCCAAGACTCCAAGGTTAGCATGTCAGCAGATTCGTGATGCATTAGGCAGGAATAAACACAGACACTTTTGTTCGTCCGGGCCAAAATTAAGGAGGAATATTTCAGTACTATATTGCTTTCCACACAGGAGAAAATGCTTTCTGCAGGTTTAGGAGGGCAGATTTCTACATGCTCATCATAGAGGGAGCCATCCAATACCCTCTACCCAAGAGCCCAATGCATTCATCTTGTTTCAAGCTTATTTAATAAAAAGGAGCTTCCTTCATCTCCGGGCAGGTAAATGACGCAGGAATGAAAATCAGACAGTATTCAACCAACAAGAGAAACACCTGTGATTTCAGCAGGGGCACCAGGTTAGGCCCTGACTTCCATTCACCCGCCTTCAGCTGGCGTCCATGCCCAACTTTCCTGACAATGCATGCCATCTGGATAGGAAGAACCAATGGTCTACAGACTATGATCTATTTTTTTTTCAAAAACAAAAACCTTCAAAAACAAAAACATCTTCAAGTTTAATAGCATCTAAGTACGAATTGCCAGTTACAAAAACAGCCACAGGATGTGAAGTACAGCATGGGGAAGAAAGCCAATACTATGCAGTGACTCCCAGTGTGCATGGTATCAGATAAAAACTGGAAAGGAACCTTGCTTCCTGCCATTGTTGATCAATTCTTATAGGTGTTACCATAACAGATATCTGCTAGGAACACAGAGAAACATGTACTGAACTTATTACACCTGCCCCTTTCCAAAAGAGATTTGAGTCTGAGAAATAAAAAGAACATATACATTTTTTATTTTTTTCCTAAACTTAGTGTGGTAGTCATTTCACAATATATTTAAGTCAAAACATTATGCTGTACCCCTTAAACTTATACAGTGCTGAATGCCAATTATATCTCAATAAGACTAGAAAGACTAAAAATAAAAAATAAGGCATGAGCAAAGATTTCTATAAACGTAAATGCTGTCAGACAAAATCAGCTGAGTTGCAGGAACCAGTGTGTAATGAAAAGAGTCAAGACACTTCAGTTCTGAAGCTTCACTGCGTAAGTCACATGACCTCTAAGGGCCTTAGAAATCTAAAAATGGATTTTCAAGAAATGAATAAAGTTCCAAAGCAAAACTACAGTTAGACATGGATTATCTGAATAATAATCTGAAAAAAAACTAAAAATTATGACAAAGAGTAGTGAGAAAATCCGCTAATTATAAAGATTAACACTATAGTTTCCATAATCAGAGAATCCTATTTAGCTGTGAGCTTCCTAGTAACCAGAGCAGAGAACGCCATCCTGATTGCATACCCCTTGCTAAGGAAGAAAGGGAATTCTAATTTCTCAAAAGAGAAGCTTTTCCTTCTAGAGAGCCCCCACTTCTAGGCCAGTGCAGCGCTGCTTTTGCCAGTTTTAGACATGTGGCATTTACAATTTATTTGGGAAAACTGTTCTAGGGCTTAAAAAAGAAGAAGAAAAAGAAAAGTTTTTTAAAAAAAACTGGTCTGGTCCAATTTTTTCACTTTTATAAACACAAAGACAAAGGGCCAACACACTGAATAACTCACCTATATAGTTATATGGCTATAAAGCAACTTCATGATCTTACCTAATCCTAGCTTTTATTAACTTCTTTTTAATATCAAGAATAGCCCTGTGTTAGCCATGAAGACAAGAATAAAATAAAATGTAAAATGAAGCAGTAAACTAATAAAGGAAACCTAACAGTTCAACTTGGTATTCATATATTCCCCCTATGTGAAGCTTCAGGCGTGTAGGGCATGATCCGACAGGACTTGTCCAGCCTTCTGAACTACCCAAGGACACAGGGGATCAGGCACAGATGTTAGCTCTGCAGCAGACTGACCTACTCAGCTGTAAAGTCAGCCAACCTGCAGAAACCAAATTTCTCCAGCACACAGGTCCAAACAGCGATTTGCAAAGATGGGGGATGGCACTGAACAAGTTCTCACTGCAGCAGAGATCTTTACTTCTCAATCAGCTAAATTTTAGGAAAAACACTCTAGAAGCGAGCTATAAATATAATGTAAAGAAATCTGTCCGGCACACGAGGATGCACGCTGTGTGTTTACCCATGTATGCAAACTGTAAGTTACTGCCTCACTGAAAATTCCATCAGGCTTCCAGTCCATCCCTTCATTTCAAAGCCGAATGTAGCTGTTAGCACACTTGTTGACCACAAAACTGAGCAGATGCAATTAACACAAAACTTGCAGGGGGAAAATGCCTATGTAGATGAAATGTATAATTTTCGATTCCGTGATGAAATTAGAGACCTACTATTTGCCAAAAAGTCAAATTCATGATCCAATTTCAAAATTTCAATCTAGGAAGAATTATAAAAATCTTTTAATTTGCCGTTTCTTGTTTTAAAGAGATAATTTGTTTTAACCCTTTTCCTCATAGTTTGAAATACACAATTCCCAAAGGAAGCTGCTAGAGCTTTCAGAATTAACGACAGTAAGACTGGTCACTAATGTAAAAAATATATTTCTTCTGAAAGTAGTTTTCCTTTTCCATGTAAAAGCAGATGATACATTTTATTAAATGATTTCAAATTACAAAGGAAATCAATGTCAACAATTACTAGAAATAACCAATAAACCAAAAAGTTAATGCATGCCTGTAAAATCTAAATATTAAAGTAATATCAGGAGTTATTTACATGGCTGCATAATACTTCCCCATAAAGTTCACTATTTAACATTTCTCTCTTAAAAAGTAAGCCCCTTATATGCATATACACTGCTTTATACAATGGCATTTTGGTAAAGAGCAAAATCATATTCAAATGGTAAACAGATCAATAAACAATAAACTTTCAAATTGTAACTTTTCAAATGCCAATCTTCAAATAATAAATTCTCTGACCATGCCAACAAAGACAAGATCAACCCTAGGGGCTGACTTGAGGGGGAAAACAATACAAACTGTGAGCTGAGTGCCCCTACCAAAATCCCTCTGCCAGGCACCACTATCCCAAGCTTGAATCTCTTGAAAAAATGTAATCACTTGCTACTGTAGATAATCTATATATATAAAAGCCAAAGCAACCGTTACGACCGACTGACCAGTGAACTGGTTGCTATGACATGCACTAACCATCAGGGGGCAGATGCAGGAGCTGCCCCCTGGTGGTCATTTGCTCCCACAGCAACCTCCTGCGGCTGGCCAACCTCCTGCAGTCCCTCCCCCCAGCCAGCCAGCCCCGACAGGGACTGGGCAAGATGGCCCCAACCGCCGGCCAGGCTGAGGAACCCCACCTGTGCACGAATTCATGCACCAGGCCTCTAGTCTATCTATATATATAAAAGCCTAAGTGACCGTTTGACCAGTAGCTATGACGCGCACTGACCACCAGGGGGCAGACGCTACGACTGGTAGGTTAGGAGGGAGCCCGATTAGCTTGCTGCTGGGGCTTATTGGTCCCGAATCTGGTTCACCTGCATCCTGGACCCAGAGAGGAGGGAGGAGGGAGCCCGATTCCTCGCAGAATCGGCCATCAGTTAGCTTGCTGCAATATTAAAGTATTTTTTCTAATTAATTTCCTTTCAATGTGCACGAATCTGTGCACTGGGCCACTAGTAAATAAGTAAATGTTCATTTTTTCAACCCTCTACATATTTTTATTATAAAGAGCTTATCCTACCCTTAGATAATGAAGATAAATATTTAATTGCCAGCAATCTGTTATTATTTTCTTTCCTGAGCTACTCACTGAGTTACTCTACTGAAATCACTATTTGTTGCAATCATAATCTCAGGAAGTCTAAAGGAAATTCACAGAATTCACCTTTGTTGTCGTTCTTGCTTTCGGAGCTCCGTTCTCCAAACCCCCAAGTTCCAGTTTGCCATCATCCTTGCTTCCTATAGACTTTAGTCCTTGCAAAAGAATGTCTTGTAAATTCTGATAAAGGGGTTTTTCATCATAGTCCAGCAATTTCACTGTTTCCAGGTATTTAGCAATTTCATCTAAAAAAAAATAACACAATTATTCTATAATTTTAAAATCCAAATACAATATATTTATCCCTTACTTTGAAGAAAATAACTTGTGTTATAGTAAAATTAGAATTAAAATGGATATTTTGTTAAACGATCTTTTTTCAATTACTTCTTCATTGAAAATTGTGCTTCTGAACTCAGAAAATGTCAGAATAAAAAATATATTTTGAGGTATGATGTAAAAAAACATTTCTGAAATTGTGAGACGATAAGGAAAAATATATACTTAAAATTTAAACATTCACAAAAATAACTGCCATAGTTTTAAAGCTATCAAAAACACACAGGAACCTAGAATATGGATTATGAAGTAAAATGTGCTTAAGTACAATGACTATCATAGCCAACTTTTAAAATTTGGGTTCTTCATGTAAATGAGAAATAAAACAAACCAAAAACAAGCTGAAAGAAGCAAGGCCTGCTTTTCCCATGAAAGAGAAAAATCACCTTCTGAGTGACAGCTTACCTGTACAGAGGCAGAACCACAGCCACACGGAGAACCTTACTACAGATCACCACCTCTCAGCACCAAGAATCCACCTCTAGGCGACTGACTCACACCTACGCAGCCCCAGCCTCGCCCTTGCCCTGACCTGCAGACTGGTGCACACACTGCCTCACACAGTAGCTCTTCGATGTGGAACTGTCACCTCAAATCCCAACAAATCTAAACCTAAACCCCTGACCTGCCCCTACACCTGCTCCCTGTAGTTTCCCAGTCTGGGTGACTGAGACCTCCATCCTCCGGCTCCTCAAGCCGGCACTCTTCTTCCCACACCCACACCCAACCAATCAAGGGCTCCTGCCAGTGCTACATGCACACGGAACACATTCACTCACTCAAATACATACTAAGCATCCATTACGGATCAGGTAAGATTCTATATACTTGACATAAATGAGTTAAAAAGAGAGAAAACAAACCCTCTTTTCAACTTCTCAATCTGATCGAGGGGCTCTATAAACCTGAAGCATCAGCACTGAGCTTGGTCAACTCCTGAAAATTCCCTCGGAGAGGAGTCCAGGATGTCCTCTTTCACCAATGTGTAAGGCACAATAGTCGTGTGTGCTTTTAGCCAATATAGTAAAGCAAGAAATAAAAGGCACAGAGTTGAATGCCAGCTAGAGAACAATTTATTCACAAACATGAGAGTGTATATAATATCCCAAGGAATCTATTTAAAAAATACTAGAATAGTAAACATAACAAGGTCACAAAAGCAAGTAAGTATATAAAAATCTATTCTATTTCTGTATACTAGCAACAAGCAATTGGAAAATATTTTAAAATATATAGCATAACATTGCATCAAAAGCATGAAACACAATGAAAGATGGGCAAGATTTTTTGCAGAGTAAAGTATAAAACACAGATGAGAGAAACAGAGACGAAATCAAATGGAGGAAATGCCATACTGGTAGACTGGCACCCTCAATGTTGTAACAATACTAATGCCCCCCAATCAGTCCACAGCGAATGCAACTGCACTCAGAGTTCCAGCAGACTGGGGATGGAGGGGTGTGTGTGAATGTGACAAGGTGATTCTTAAATTTACATAGATATGCTAAAGACCAAGAATAGCAAAATAGAAGGGCAAGTTTAAAGAACAGTGCTGGACAACTTAACCTTCCAGATACCAAGACTTAAGATAAAGCTACAATAACTGAGGCAGTATGGCCCAAGAAGAGGCTTTTCCCGACTTCCAGAGCTTACTCCCTAGCTCCTTCCTACAATACTAATGGCAGTGAGGCCAGCCCTGCCCACCCATTTCAAACCCCAGCCCTCCTTCCTACTTCACTCCCTAGTTCTACTCTGTGCTTTCTTCTTTTCCATTGCACCGACCACATAAGATACTGCAATGCACTCGTTTCTTCACTGTGTGTCTCTTCCAACCAGAGCGTGAGCTTCAGGAGGACAGGGACTTGTATGTCTTGTTCACCGGTGTATCTCTGGTGCCTGGAAGGGCCCCTGGCACACAATGAAGCCTCAATAAAGAAACAGCTGCATGAATGAATGAAATTTGGTTCCCCTCCTGAAAGCAGTAACTAAATAAAGCTCAAGTACCCCTGTAGCCACTTCTTTTTTGATGCAAACAGGCCCCATTACAATTTCGCCTGAACTCTCACATTAAGGAATATCCAATGGGCATCATGACTTTCTCTCAGAAAACAAAACCCATGTGAATATATAAGAAGTCTTTTCCTACCTGGCTTATTTTTCTCAGGAAAACATTTGTCCATCAAACCTGCAATATTTTCTCTGTATCTGTTAAAAATTAAAGAATGAGTCACTGTTTGAAGCTTGATGCCATAGAAAGTTACTAATATTTAATAACAGTAAATAGCACACTAAGCAGCACTGTGCTATATCCTAAATATCCTTATAGACATTCTTCTAAAATAAATTGAACACAAGACCAAGAAACCACCCTAGCCAGTTTGGCATAGTAGATAGAGGATTGGTCGGTCTGTGGACTGAAGGCTCCCAGGTTTGATTCTGGTCAAGGGCACATGCCCGGGGTTGCGGGCTCGATCCCCAGTAGGAGGCATGCAAGAGGCAGTCGATCAATGATTCTTTCTCATCACTGATGTTTCTATCTCTCTCTCCCTCTCCCTCTTACTATTTAACAAGTACTTTGTTATTTCTATTTTAGTATCAGTTAAAGCTACAGTTCCAGTAAAGAAATTCTGACTGGGAAACATTTGTCTTATCATGAGCTTCCCAAAATAATTTGTGAGTCTCCTTTACCTAATTTTGGAATCTCTAACATAGTTAGGATCTTTCAAATTATCCTCCCAGGGCAGGTGGCCGCTGAGCCACTGGACCATGCAGTAACCGAGTATTTCCAGGTCGCCACGTCTTGATGGGGCTGTGAACACAAAAGAAGTAGATGAAGCACACTGAAATCATTTTCAAGGTGCAATTTCAATTACATATAAAGCAGTAAGGTAAAACAGTCAACTCTACAGTCTTGTTTTTCATAAATTCTGCCTGCATTTAAAGAAAGTATTGAATATTGGATAATACAAAGAAATAATTTACCCCCCGGCTAATAATTTATTTTAAAACCCAATTGACAAACTCCAGAGTTCCAAACCGAGACTATTAATCTAGGAAATAAAATATAAAATAATGCCACATTTAATATTTAAGATATTAAAAATGCTACGAGCTATTAAGAGTCCCAGAGAACTGGGGGTTTTAGCTCCCCCACAGAAGTGGGCACAGAAAAAAGAAACAACAGCTGAAGAAAGAGACCAACTTATCAACAGGTGACAAAATACAAGTTTACCTGTTATAAAGTTGTAGCTGCATGAAAACTTAGATTTTTAAGGGGAAAAACAACCAACATTCTGATTAAGTTAAAAGCAACCGAAAAGAAACACTCGCTGCAGTGACTGAGCCACTTCACTGCTGAGACACTGGCGCTTGGGCTCAGAGAGAACAGAGGCTGCTGCAGGCATCCGCCTCCCCTTCCTCCCGTCCCACTTCGCCTCTTCAATCTTCTCTCCTTAGTTACGTATGCAGAGCTAAGAACCGTATGGAATCCAGGTGAAATGTTAGCTGTGCATTTCTTGCTCAGCTACTGCTGACATACCCACGCCATTGTGCGCGTCGATGCTGGTGAACTCAATAGTGCCATCATGACATCTTTTGGGGTCTTCCTTATATTCTTTATGACTTCCATCTGGGCAGTAGCGATATGCAAGGCCATAATCTACCAGGTACACCTATAAATTTGTAAGCGCAAATTTAAGCCAGGAGACTGCACCCAGACAAGGTAGGTCCTGTATGCAAACAACAGCAAAGGCTTACTCTGAAAGGCTCACTTAAAGGAAAGTGTCAGATGACCATGCAGCTACAGTATAGACAGTATCACCTGACTTTGATTACTTTCTGGATAAGTATGTTATACTTCTCCTTAATCTTCTACTGAGCAAGGATTATAAACCCCATACTTCTCCTTACAGTCTGAAAAAAAAACCAAAAAAACTGAGCACAAAGCAGACCATCGTACTTGTTGAGATACAACTGCCACCCTCTGGTATAATCCTGCTAACCTTCATTCCTCTGCTTCTTCACTTCTAAAATAATCAAATATCAATTCACTTCATAGAAGTGTTTCAGATCATGATTTAAAAAACTTTTAGATGAGGTTCTTATCTACATTTAAGTATTATATATTAAAGTCAAGTCTTCAAAATTAAAGCTACATTTTAATGTTACATACACACACATCCGTGGACATATACATGTGGGTCTCATTAGCATACAAATCCAATAACCTGGGCTTTCTCTATGCCAGAGCCTCTATTACATTCCTAGTTCTGGGAACTGTCTCACAAACGTATGCAGCTGGTCACAAGAGGGAAGTGAAGTGAAAATATGGGGATGGATCTAGCACATACATCTAATACTAGAAAAATAATCGCATATGCCCAAAGAATAAGAGAGCTGCAAAAATACTTCCCTAGAAACAAAAGGCAGCAGGTTTTAGTCAACTGCAAACTGAAATAGGCTGTACTATTATTTATGATATTGCATAAGTCCAGTCTACTTCAATTAATAGAATCCTTACCGTTTGGGGTCTTAGCTTTGTTTTGTTTGTTTCTAATCTAAAACAAGATGGCTCGCAATTCTGTGACTGCCTTTAAGCTTTCTGCATGAGCATGCTTTAGTATAGCAGCTTTCTTCTGCATATGCATATAGATCTCTATGGCCACCATAAAGGAGATGGGAGGGGAAGCAAATATATGGGTGATAGAAAAAGAAAAAGGAGCCTAAGTTAAAAGGAACAAATAAGCAAGAAGTTAAAGACAGGTTTGAGGGAAAGAAAAATGAAGTACGGACTACTGCCATAAACACATTTAAAATGTTTAAATAATCTTTTCTCATACAAGATCAAGTTAGTAGAGAACATACAGAATGGAATAAGTACAGTAGCCCAACAGTGAAATGTCAACTAGACCTTATTTACCAAAATCATAGAAACAGTTATAAGAAAATTGTATAGATCCATTGATTCCAACTAAACTTAACTCAAATAAAGGTAAAGTAACATTAGCTTTTCTCCTTTCCTTAAAAAGTAAAAATTACAAAGGAAATGTAATAAACTAAAAAAAAAAATGCAAATTTAAATTTCAAACACTAAGGGCATACAAATTTAGACAGCTACGTTATTTCTGTAAACCAACTGATTTGAATAATCAACATGTTAAAGACCAAATTTCTCAACAGAACACTTACATTTGATGGATTTCTTGAACAAAGGAAATAAAAACATGACAAAGCAGACAGGCAAACATAATTCATTGGTGCACTATATAATTTTAAGCTTCCACCCCCAAGCAGCTATTTGAAATTCATTTTGTATCACAAGCACTTCTTCTGAATATTATTTAGGGCAAAACAGCCAACTTGATAAAGTGCCAACAAATAGCATCAACAATGTAAAATGTTAACTAGAGAGAGGTGTCAAGAAAAAATATTATTATTAGCATATCTACTTCAAAAAGTAAAACTTCTGCATGGGTTTGAAAGTTCAAAGCAGCCATATTAGTTTTCAAACAACAGGTTTCAAATTGTAGAAGTTAAAGTTATAAAACTACCTGGTCAGGATCCTTGCAGCTCAGAAGAAGATTTGAGGCCTTGATATCTCCGTGCACATACTCATGCTCGTGAATATATTCCAGAATATCCAGCTGAAAGCATCACATAGAGTAAGTTAACGCAGTACCCAATACCAACCAGCAGAGGACCAAGCTTCAACACAACAGCTTCACTGGGTTAAAAACAAGGAACATGTAGCTCACATACAATTCTTAAGCTTAGCTGCAAGACAGTTTTCCGAGAAAACCTTTTGGCATTTGCTTCATATATTTTCTGAAGGTCACTCCCAAAGCGATCCATGATCATAAATCTGTAACTGGAGACAAACAAGAAAAGTCAATGAACAAAACAGACCTCAGGAAAACTGACTGTAGTGAGTACTCCTGTCAGAGTGATTTTTCAAGGCAATGTTTAGGAAGAAAGAAGAAAGAAAAGGAAAGAAAGATAAACATTTGAAACAGTTTCTTCTGACTATAATTCTCAAGAGCCTCCTCTTGGTCTCATCTAGTAAGAGGAGACCATATGCCATATAAAATAACGCCCACAGAGAATCCAACAGATTCATTCACAGTAAGGACAAAACAATCTGAGGGAGAATATCACTGTTTTTTTCTGACAGTTAAAGTTAATGTATGTTTCTGGATATTAGCTTCCTTCCTGTGACAGCTTTTCTCAATTTGTAAGGCACATTTTAGCAATATTAGTACCATTCTGTTTAAATCAAGACTGTCAAGAGATGCTGTAACAATAGCTAAATTCAGCCCGGCTGGTGTGGCTAAATGGCTGAGTGTCGACCCAGGCACCAAGAGGTAGCTCATTCCATTCCCGGTCAGGGCACATGCCCAGGTTGTGAGCTCAATCCCCAGTAGGGGATGCACAGAAGGCAGCCAATCGTTGTTTCTATCTCTCTCTTTCTCCCTTCCTCTCTCTGAAATCAATAAAAACATTTTTTTTAATTTTTTAGATAAATTCAATAAAATTGTTTAAATCGTGCAAAAGAACTATATATTAAATACTCAACAGACAAGATTTGGAGAAGAAAAAAATATTCTGAAACAATGTGAAGATTTTTGGTTTTGTCCTGGCCAGTGTTGCTCAGTGGTTTAAAGTATCAGCCTTCGGAGAGGCCACAGGTTTGATTCCCTGTCAAGGGCACGTACCTAGGTTGCAGATTCAATCCCCTGCCCCAGTCAGCACGCAAGCAGGAGGCAACCAATAGAAGTGTCTCTCTCACATCAATGTTTCTCCCCCTCCCTCCACTCTTTCTAAAAATCAATGGAAAAATATCTCAGGTGAGGATTAACAACAACAACAAAAAAGACAAGTCAAATAATAAATTTAGAATTCTACCCATTTTTATACTAGAAGAGAATTAGCAATCATCTTTTGTGAACATCTTTAATAAGTAATTAATGTCTATGGAAGTAAAGTTATTTGCCCAAAGTCATACAATTAGCCAGTGGCAAATGTAAGAGTTTCCAGTGCCTTAAACTCTAAGATAATAAAAAGGGAACAATAAATTTGACTGCCTAATTCCCTTTGTACAACAGGTTTTCAAAGACTGAGGGGTGACCAAGGACACATGTACATATTACAAATAAGTGATATGTATACAATTATTATAAAACGATAGGCCCAGTGCACGAAATTCATGCACTTGGGGGACAGGGGTCCCTCAGCCTGGCCTGCGCCCTATCACAGACCAGGAGCCCTTGGGCCTAAGCCAGCAGTCAGACATCCTTAGCGCTGCCACGGAGACGGGAGAGGCTCCCACCACCGCCACTGTGCTTGCCAGCCATGAGCCCAACTTCTGGCTGAGCAGCACTCCCCCTGTGGGAACGCACTGACCACCAGGGGGCAGCTCTTGCGTTAAGCGTCTTCCCCCTGGTGGTCAGTGCGTGTCACAGCAACCGGTTGTTCTGCCATTCAGTCATTTTGCATAGTAGCTTTTTATTATATAGGATAATATATGGGTAACAATAACATAGCCTCTACTGACAGTCTGAAAGAGGGCTGAACCACAATTGTTTAATTCCTGGAAACTTGGATAAACAATGCAAATAATGGGAAAATATAAATCAGTATAAATAATTTAATAATAACAGATAACCTTTTTATACAATCCTGATACTGTTCTAAGCACTATATACATATTAATTCAAATCAGTTACAGGGATAAGTAAAGATTTCTGGCACACAAAAAAAGATTTTTGTATCTGTACTTTTATAAGAACCAAAATGATTGTTTTTAAGAGATTCAACCTAAAAAGCAAATCAATACCTTAGACTAAGGTGATTTAATGCTCCATTTTAGGAGACACTTGCAGCCACTTTATGTGATAGAAAGAAGAGGCTGGGAGGCAAGAGAGCTACTAGTAAATGGTGCTCTAAGGACTAAACCTGCGTGTCTGGTTCCAGAGTTCCTGTGTTCCACAGCACCCTCCAGCCCATGCCGGGAGTTCTCTCCTGCAGCTCCTGTCAGCTACCTTAGAGCCAACCGGCGACCTTCACCACCTCCCCAGGCCTGATCACTTCACAGGAGCCACACAACAAGCCCTGTTTAACTGGCTCTCTGCTTTATCACACAATAAGTGATAAAACTGTATAGGCAAAATGTGCTATGATAGTGTGGGCAACTTTAAGAAAAAGCACCATTCCCAAACCAAAAGAAGGAAGGGAGAGAGGAAAAGAGAAAAGGAGGGTACGAGGGAGGGAAGGAGGGAAATGATATGATGATTGCAACTAACATTTTTTTAATATATTTTTATTGACTTCAGAGAGAGGAAGGGAGAAAGAAAGAGAAACACCAATGATGGGAGAGAACCATTGATCGGCTGCCTCCTGCATGCCCCCTACTGGGGATCGATCCCGCAACTCGGGCATGTGCCCTTGACTGGAATCAAACCTGGGACCCTTCAGTCCTCAGGCCGATGCTCTATCACGGAGCAAAACCAGCTAGGGCACAACTAACATGTACTGAGCCCACACTCTGTGCCAGAACAACCCCCTTACGAATTACGTTTCAATTTCATCTTCAGAGTAACTCCATAGAGTCCTATTATCCCATCTTAACTTACTTAATCAATCCTTGATCTATACTATTTCTCCAGAAAATTCCATAAAAATATAGACTCTTGTTCCAGCAAAACCATACATAACAAAATATAATCTATCATATTTTGGGGAAATCCTAAGAGGTGCATGGTTCCAGAATGAGAACCTTCAAGGAGACCTCTGGCTCCCACCCAACACCGACCTCCACTCCACCTTTTCTACCCAAGCCCAGGTCTGGCCCGGCATTCCATCCCCTCCCACACAGCCAAGTGCCTCCCCACGCCCATCTGTGACCGCCTTGCATGCCCGAAACTGGTTTCAGAAGGACCTGATAGAACTCTGACCAAGAAAACAGGACAGGCCCTAACCGGTCTGGCTCAGTGGATAGAGCGTCAGCCTGTGGACTCAAGGGTCCCAGGTTCGATTCCAGTTAAGAGCATGTACCTTCGTTGCGGGCACATCCCCAGTAGGGAGTATGCAGGAGGCAGTTGATTGATGTTTCTCTTTCATCGATGTTTCTCTCTATCCCTCTCTGTAAAAAAAATTCAATAAAATATATTAAAATTAAAATCATCATTCTTCCCTTTAAAAAAAAAAAAAGAAAAGAAAAGAAAACAGGACAGAAAGACTGCCACCAGACTCCCAAGGGTTTTCCTGACCAGGAAACTGAAGCTCATGGAAGCAATACCAGTTTCTGCTGTGGCTACTGTCTATATACGAAGCCTAGAAATGTGGCCGCCACCTGAGACCATATGACAGCGAGCAAAGCAAGGATGAGAAGGACAAAAGGGCAAGAAAAAGGAACCTGTGCCCTTGGTAATTACGTAAGAGAGCTGAGTCAGTTTCCTCTATTTGTAGATAAAGACATTCAAACCCCTTCCAAAATAAATCCATTCTTCAAATCTCAGCTTCTAGCCTTCTTCCATGAAGTGTCATTCAAATATTTAAAAAGTATTGTTTATGCATCAAACTACTGGAGATTTTCTCCAACGCTACTATGCCAACAATATTCTCTACATTCTCTGAACTCCTAAGACCCATAAGAGTCAGAATCACAGAATTTAGCACTTAACTGTTCCCACTGTTTCATACATGTTTCATTTCGTTTTTCTCACCAGCCAGACTGAAACCTCATAAAAAGCAAGCCTCTGTGGGCAGCTTACAGCTCTAACATGAAATACTAAATTAAAAGGAATCCACTTTACATAAAGGACATGAAGTTTTTGGTTGCTTGTTTATTTTTAAAGACAAAAAGATGCCAGGCACATTTGGATCTGTTCCTGCTTGTCATCTGGGTTCCAGGCAGCTGCTCCCACACTGTACACGTGCCCTGGACGGCAGGGCCCCCTCTAACAGGGCACGGCAACCTGCTGCTGTGGGAAGCAGAGGGCGGCCACAAGGCTTTGCTGGCCTCTGTTGCGCACACTCCACAGCCCAGAGGGACGCCGAGCAGGTACTGTAAGTGCTCAGAGTACAATTCTTGGCTAAACCAACTACACAGTGAATGCTCAAAAAATAGAAGAGAAAAACAAAACGTGTATTTTTACCTTTTTCCATTTTTATCATGTAGACCAGACCCCCAATACTTAGGAACACCCAGGTACTTCAGTTTATGGGTATGAATCCATTTCCGAACTAAAAATCAAAACAGATGCTTGTGATTTCAATTCTGTTCGACATAAATAATCTTTTAAATCATTAGGAGAAAAATGTACTTATATGCATAATAAAATTTCACTTTTATTTATTCATAAAAGGAAACAGTATTTTATGACCCATGCATAAAAAGTAATTCGAAACATTTTTATTAACCCACAATATCTTGTTATTCTGCCCTAAACATTGTCTTTACAATGAAAAATTTGCAGAAAACATTTTAAAAAAATCAAACCACAGAATTCTGGTTGCAATCATATCCCTAAGTATACAAATGTTTACTTGCTTTCACAGAAAGGCTTCTCTTTTACCCCAATCTACAGGCTTAATACCTCATCCTCAAAGCCCTCAACCAGGAAACAAAGCTCTGGGGAGAGATGAGAGGCTTCCTTGAGAATGCCAGGCCTATTCCACCCAGGAGGCTGCCTGGGATCTGAGGTGGGAGTGGAGCGGGTGGATGAGAAGAGAGGGGAGGAGAAGAGAAAGGAGGGAGGACAGAGTAGGGAAGAGAAGAAAGGGTCTAGAGTAGCTAGAAGAGGCCCTGCTCTTTACCTTGATAATCTGCTCTGTTTCATCAATTATGACATCCCAACCCCACCCCTGGTTATGTTCCCCAGAATTCAAAAAAAATACCCAGAAAGATCCAGAGATCCTTGAGCCATACTCATGGATTAGGAGTTTTTTCATGTTTAACATTTTCTAAATTATACATCATTATTACTTTTAGTCTATATATCAATACAGGTAAAATTTTATAATAAACTCATTGAGAGGTCAGAATTCTTTCATACAAACCTCATGTAAATAGAACATACTTATGAAATAACAAAGAATCATAATATGAGAGCAATGCCCTAGTCTTAGCTTAAGCAAAAAGAAACAAGCAGTGGTGACGTTAAGGTGCAAACGCAGGCGCTGTGTTTCTTACTTTGCTCTGGTTTGGCAGCTCGCTGGTAGAACTTGAGTTCAGTAAAAAGAGGTCCATTGTCACTGGGCTCCTTGAAACACAGGCATCAGTTAGTGCGAGCAGTTGTCAAAATTACTGTTATTTTCAGCAAACTTTCAAAAAAGACTAACAAATCAACTTTTCTTATCAAACAATGTAGTTTTGATACTTAAGTTTATAACTATATTTAAGATTAAATCAAACTCTTTAGAAATGTTTCAGATATTCTCAGAATAGTCTATATTTTATTTTTCTCCAGTTCCAACTCTTTAAGTGATAAATTATACAAAATTAGACATATGACTCAGTCTTTGCAAAAGTTTAAGAAAAATTTTTAAATTTATTTTTATCTTTATTTAGCTTTCTTTTAAGAAAAGATGAGCAACCATGTTAATTCTTTCACCGAGCAGCTACAAGACATTTCTGAGATTCAATAAAATGTCAACAATTGACTTAACCAATTAGTGGCAAAAACCCCATTCCTTTTGTGTTTCTCCTGACAATTATACATAGTTTATCGGGACTGGCAGAAGCTGGCCTCCTCATGAAGAATATTCTGGAACTGCAGAGAGCAAGTACTGGCCATTTAACTGCAGCCTCTCCTTTCGGACCCTGATTCCCATGTAGCAAACTAAAGGGCCCTACAATTTACTTCCCACGTGACAATTTAAAGTCAAGAGGAGCTCTGGCCGCGTGGCTCGGGTGGTTGGAGCGTCCTCCTGTGCACCAGAAGGTTTGGAGTTCAATTCCTCGTCAGTTGCGGTTTTGATCCCTGGTGGTGGAGCATTCAGGAGGCAACTGATCAATGTTTCTTTCTCTTTCTCTGGAGATAACCAGTCAATGTTTCTCTGTTTCTCTCCCACTCCTCCCTCCCTTCCACTTTCTCTAGAAGTCAATGGGGGAAAAATATCCTCAGGTGAGGGTTTAAAAAATAATAAATAAATAAAACCACTCTAGACACGTAGTTCTAATATCTCAGATTTCTTGTAATTCAGAAAAACAGGAATCCAAGTTAAAGTACTTACAGAAAATCTACTAAGCCAACCTGCAGAGTCAGGCAGGACCTAGCTAAGACTGAGCATTCAGCAGCAAATAGGTGACAGACAGAACACTTGGATCAGGGCCGGCAAATAACCCGGCCTGGGTGTTACTGGTCAGTATACTTTCTCAGTCCAGCCTTGGGAGAATATCATCACCTCTCAGAAGCTGAATCTAACCATATACTGAGGGGGGGGCGGGGGGAGCAAATCACTAATTTTCAGTCTCAGTACCTCAGGTGTCACCGGAACCTGTGGCTCATTTCCTAGCTGCAAAGGAAGCTGGACAGACACGTGCATGTTT